AGAACCTTCTTAAAGTGTAAGGTAAGAGAGAATTAGATAATAACTAGTTTAGAATATTTAGTAAGAAACACATACTTCTCTCTTATACTTCTCTGTCAATGTGTAGCACAGCACTATAATTTTTTTAAATCATATTTCTTCACTAACAAAGAGTTGAAAATGTACGTTATGTGAAGTGGAGATAGTATTCTCAACACTTTTTTTTTTTTTTTGGTTTAAAAGTGTAATGGGACTAAGCTGTCCTGAAATTTGTATGGAAAATAGGCATTAAAAATTCCTGGTAAATCCAGTATGGAAAAAGGCATGTTGAGCCTAAAAAATAGGGTAAATAATTGGTTAAAATAAGTATGTTTTGAATAGGAAATATATTTCCTTAATAGTTTTGGAGGCAAAATAATGGAAACACTGTATTAGCTGAGCACTAAGAAAACATCTGATATGAAACAATACCTCAGGGAATAAATTTGATGATACAACAGCCCCCGTACTGGTCTAATGTCTATAATTTCATCTAAATGTCAGTAATGGGAAAAAATGAGAGGGAAGGAAGATTACAAAAAACACATGGGCCCATCTGTCTTTCTGCATGTAACTCTATGGAGATTCTTAATTAGAATTACATAATAGTGGAATCTGGCCTATAACACATAAGAGAAATTATCTAAAACCATGACCTTTTCCATGCTGCATCAATGGGGACATAAGTATGGTCCAGAATACAAATCGTTTGTTCTGTCACACTTATAAAACAGCAGGGAACACTGGAAACTTTCTTCCACGTAGCTGGAATTAATTTTAGCTCCTCAAAAGCCCCCACTAGGGGAATAATTTCTTCTTTCTCCCTCCCTGCCTCCCTCCTTCCTTTTTTCTTATTTATAGGAAATTTTTCTTCTCCAAAAACAACATTTGCTTACTTTTGGCTCTGTTAGCAAGTACGGTGAGAGAAAATGTGTGCCAAGAAAAGTCTGGAATTATTTCAATTGTTATTTTTTTGCTTACTTGTCTGAAACAGTGACAGGATCATTTAATGTGAATCTCTAACAGATCTGAAAAGTTATTTAGCACACATCCCTCAGAAACTAAAACTCAGTAAAAAACAAAACAGTTGCCATTAAGTTGCCATTGACTCATAGTGACCCCATTTGTGTCAGAGCAGAATTATGCTCTATAGGGTTTTCAATGGCTTATTGTCTAGAAGTCAATTGCCAGGTCTTTCTTGCAAGGCACCTCTGGGTGGTCTCTAACTCCCAACCTTTAGGTGAACAGCTGAGAGTGTTAACCATTTACATCATATGGGGATTGCAGAGGTGAGTCATGTGCTCATAATCACTTCAGTGGTTAAAGGAAGCATGGAGCAAATAGGTAGCTGAGACTCCTATTCCCAGTCCTTTGCTCTTTCCATTTCACCTGACTAGTTCTTATTTACCATATGCACAAAGAGATGAAGGACGCATGATGTATAACTTCCTCCAGCCACTCCCCATTCTCAGTAATTATTTCAAAAAGAAGCTACTAAGGAAAAGGGAAGATGTGACTTAATGTGGCAAACTATCACTCTGTCCTCCTTTTTACGAAAACTTAGTAAATAATGCATACCTTCTAGAATTTAATTCCACATTTTCAAAGGTCAAAGGTTGTTGTACTAAGTCTTTTACTTATATCAAAAAGCCTGTAACATTCTTAATGTAGCTATTTCCCTTGGTCTCCCTAGCAAATAAAATTTTATAACATTAATTTACACCATATTGTAGGGCACCCTCAGCGGTTTTCTTTTATTGTTTATGTTGGAGCTCAGACTGGTGATAATCTTTAAAAGAGAGATTACTTATTCATTCACCTCAGTTTTTTCTCTGAGAACTGTGTAAGAGAGAAGTTGACCAAATAGTCCAGCAGGGAGCTGCCAGACTAGCTTCTAACAGGCTTTAACACACAATTTACCAGGGTCAGGATCTGACCCTACCTTGTAGTTTTAGAAACTAGAGCCATCTCTCTGGAGTGAAGTCACATGAATTAAGTCCACAAGATTGACTTATAAAACTAGAAGAGTATTAATTTAAATGAGAAATCAATCTGTCCCAGAGATAAGAGTACGTATGTGCACCTGCACCTCCAGTCAATTGCCTCAATTCCCCACTCACTATTACATAATCATTAGCAGCTGTCAAAGCAACCAACATATTTGAAGGTACATGAATAACACATTCTTTTCCTATACGCTAATACCTCTGAAAGAAAAATCACAATCAGAATAGGGGAAGTCAGACTGGTGGGTCTGGAATCAGAACAAGGGTTGTCAGATTCATGGAATGTTTAATTGCATTAAATCAATGTGTCCATCTCATAGTAAGGAAGCTTATAAGCAAAGGGGCTGGACTTGTTGAGAAAAATATTGCCTACTACCTGCTGCACCAATCTCCACCTAAGCTCACCATGTGGTGAAACTACTCGATGAACATTGGTATAGCTCTCTACCTCCATCTCTATGTTAGGCACAGAGGATCTCTGCACAACTTGGAGAAGCACTTTCAATATTTGTCCTTAATTTCTGTTTTTCTTCAATAAAGTTATAATCTGGGAACTATTCAGTCTTTTTAAGGTAAATTTATATATCTGAGCATTGCTCCATACCCATTGAGTCATATAATCCTGACTCATAATGACCCAACAGATCAAAGTAGTACTGCCCCATAGGGTTTCCAAGGCTGTAATTTTTAGCAGTATGAACCACTGACCTTTGGTTAGCAGTTGAATGCTTTACCCACTGCACCACCAAAGCTTCTTAGCATTGCTTCCTAAGAGCTTTTATTTAAACATTTACCCTTTAAAAAAACTCATTATTTCCTATGAACCCTTTTGCACATACAGTACTGCATTGTCAGTGAAGGCAAACATGGGTAAATGGATGGACAGATGGGTGGACAGGCTAAACGATAGGTATGTCTTTGAAATGGGGAGTGTATTCAAGAACACATAAAGGGTTGGCAGACAATGGTCCTGTAAGTTTATGTGAATGATCAGAATTCCCAGGTGTATAGTAGAGCTGACAAGGGGCAAGGTTGTGGTCACTGCTTGGTCACAGCCAGCTACCCAGAGGGACCGAGTAGTTGAACATGCAGGCTTGGGACCATAGTCACAGGGGACATCAAGCTCAATTGGCATAACATACTATATAAAACACCTCCTACTTTGGTGAGTAGTGACTGTGATCTTAAAAGCTAGCAAGCTGCCATCTAGATGCAATGATGAGTCTCTCCTCATCCAGAGCAAAGAAGAATGAAGAAAACCAAAATTCATGGAAACAATTAGTCCTAACGACTGGTACACCATCTGATTTGCAGCCTATAAAACTATGAGACCAGAAAAACTAGATGGTGCCTGGCTACCACTGTCATCCACTTGGAAGGGGATCTACATAGGAGATCCTGGGTGGAGAGGGAGAACAATGTGGAACAAAACTCAAAATCATTTGGAGAAAAAAAAAAAAAAAAGGTGGGGACCAGGTTTGCTGGTCCGATAGAGCCTGGTAGAACCACTGAGATTATGGCCCCTAGCTGCCCTTCAGGTCTGGAATTGAACTCACACCTGTGGTTTCCAGCCAAACAAAATACAGGCATATGAGTTGAACATTTACCTCAAGTAGATACACTCTTTGGAGAGAACAATCATGGAAGAAAGAAGGGCTGCTTATGCACAGGGAGACAGCTCAGGGGGCAGGAGTGTACGGAGGGATAGACACTGGGAAGAGGTAACTATGAGGAGGAAGTGGGAGGGGAGCTGTTGCATTGTGGTAAACTGTGGTCAATGACATGAGACAAAGTATATATGAACTGCTGTATGGAAAGTGAATTTGCTCTGTAAATCTTCACCCAAATTACAATTATAAATAAATAAATAAACTCATTATTTCCTTTATTTCCAAAGTTCTGGGAGAATGTTAAAAATACATACTATTTACAAAATGTGAATTATTCATGAGTGGTACATAAAAATCCTAATTTTTAGCCCTATTTTTAATGTAACTTGCAATACTAAGAAACAAGTATGTTGATAATAGTAAACATCACTGCATTTTTCTGAGAATGCACTGTTCCACCATTGTTGAGGTACTGGTTTTCCATAACCTTCATACATGAATGTAAGCTCAATGGGGGGCAGGAATTTCCGCTTTTTTCACTGATTTATCCCAAGCACCTATTTGATATTGAGTCAATACCAACTCATGGTGTTGTGTGCAGAGTAGAACAGTTCCATAGGGTTTCCAATGTTGTGACTTTTTGGAAAGAGATCATCAGGTCTATCTTCAGAGGTACCTCTGGGTGTATTTGAACCACCATCCTTTCGACTAATAGTCAAGTGCTTAACAGGTTGAGACACCCAGGACTCTAGAACAGTGAAGTGTTCAAAATACTTACTGAATAAATGAATTCAACCTATAATTAAACCACATGTTAAAAACAAAAATATTTCAGAAACCAGGAAATAAGTCTTAAACAAAATACATGATCAATTTGAAGTTTCTCACTTAGTCTACTCACTTTCAGCACAAAATCATTCTTAAACAATAAATTCTAATGAAATAAGACTATAATAATTATATCATGGAGCTCTGGTAGCGTAATGGCTAAGACACTTGCCTGCTAACCAGACGGCTGGCGGTTCAAACCCACCAGCCACTCCTCGAAAGGAAGGTTGGGCAATCCTACTTCTGTAGTGATACTGCCTCGGAAACCCAAGGAGGGGTCGCTATGAGTCAGGTTTGACTCAACAGCACATAACAACAACAAAAACAACAACATTAACACATCAAAGTTAACAAGGTATCTAATAAAGTGTATTGGTATTAATCAACATAAAACATTTCAATATTTTATCATTCCAATTTTTATCTTCTTTCATGTATTTTATTCTTTAAATTGACATTTGAAATAAAAAAAAACTTTCCAGGAATACATATTTTCTTTTATCAGTAAATAGTAGTTATGTTAATGGAAAGGTTTTACCTATCACTTTATTCTTCTTTCCATTTTTTATAGGTGTACAAAGCAAACTTCCAATGTGCTGCTGGTTTATAGTTCCTGTGTTTTCATTCTAAAAAAAACGAAATAGCAAAAAATTATGAAGGGATGAAATTGTCTGTTAGATGCCAAATATTTAATAGTCTCATCTTTAATTAACTGAAGATAACAAAGTACAATAAATGTACAAATTATACTGAAGTTTACGTAAATGCAACAGAAAATAATCACTCTTCATTAAAAAATTGTACCCTGTAGTTTGATTTTTTTTTTTATTTTAAACTTTTCAGAGTAGTTTTTCCTTAGTATCTACTATACTGGTATACCAAACTGTCGTCGAGTTGTATCCGACTCATAGTGACCCCACCTTGGATTTCTGAGGTGGTAACACTACAGAAATAGATTGCCCAACCTTCCTTTCGTGGAGTGGCTGATGGGTTTGAACTGCCAGCCTCCAGTTAGCAGTCAATGCCTTAGGCAAGAGGGGCAGAATAGAAAAGCATTACATTTCCTTGGGCATTGCTGTTGTACACCACTGAGTCAATTTCAACTCGTACCAGCCCTATAAGACAGAGCAGCACTGCCCCACAGGGTTTCCTAGTATGTAATCATTATGGGAGCAGATCGCTAAGTCTTTTCTCCTGCAGAGCTGCAGGGCTGGGTCCAAACCACCGCCCTCTAAGTTAGCAGATGAGCACTTAATCATTGAGCCATGAGGGCCCCAACCTAGGACACTACATGTTACAAATTGTCCTGCTTTAATAACATTACTGTTTCTATTATCCATATTATTAAGTTCTAAAAGTTGTCCTAGATATGCACTTAGCAAAATCAAGGCAATTGCCTCAATGTGCAATGCTTTCTAAAATGAGAGAAAATACTAGAATTCAGTTTTCATTGTCTGAGAAAATATTAGAATTCAGTTTTCAATGTCTGAGAAATGGATCTTTGCTGCTTTGCTAATTCAGGGAAAATAGATAACCATTTTCACACAGAGCTACTCACAGAGGTAGATTACCAATTGACATTGCTTGACTCATCTGAAAATTTTTCAGGATAAATTATCCATTTTCCCTGAATTAGCACAGGCTTTTTAGACTTAGCTGCTCAGCTACTAACCAAAAAGTTGGCAGTTCACACCTACCCAGCAGCTCCAGAGGAGAAAGACCTAAATAGATCACCATTTTTCATACAGAGCTATTCACAGAGGTAGATTACTGATTGACCTGGCTTGACTCATCTGAATCTTAATTTTTGAGGATACACTTAACAACTCTAGCAATACTATTTTAGGTATGTTGTTCATACTAGGGTGCTCTAGTGGGGCAGTGCCTAAGGCACTTGACTGCTAACCAGCAGGTTGGTGGTTCAAACCCACCAGGCACTCTGAAGGAAGGTTGGGCAATCTACTTCTGTAGAGATACTGCCTCGGAAACCCAAGGAGGGGTCGCTATGAGTCAGAGATGATTTGACGGCACATAAAAACAACAACAACAACAACAATATTTGATATTATGTAGGTAAATGTTAAATTACTTCAACATTAGTTTATGATAGTTCATTAATACACTTAAAAAACAAAAAACGATAAAAGTACAGAAAATAATACCAAAGTATATGTGTTGTTATTAGGTGCTGTCAAGTGTTAATTCTGATGCACAGTAACCACACATGACAAGGCAGAATTGCCCCATAAGGTTTTCTTGGTTGTACTCTTTATGGGAGCAATTCTACTTTGTCATGTGTGGCTACTGTGGGCAAAATCAATTTGAGAGCACCTAATAACAGTATACACACTTAGGTATTATTTTTTGTTTTTTAAGTGTATTAATGAACTATCATAAACTAATGTTAAGCACCTAATTAACCAAGGCTCCTTTTTAAGAACAGATGACCATCTCTAAAGAGACAGTATGAGCTGTTTTATTCTTCCTTGTCTGATCAAGGAAAGGAAAGATAGCTCTTGAACAACAAGCCAGAGTCAGTCCTTCAGTTGAAGAATAACTCTTAGTACAGATCTGATGAACAAACAACCTTCTAGCATAAAGTCTGAAACTGAGTTACTTACTGTCCAGGGAAATCTTTTGTCCTTACTGACATCTGGGATATTAAGTGGTTCCATAGTATTCTTGACATACTGAGCATACATGTAATTGATTTTGTTTGCATCACGTTCCCTGTGGAATAACAAATATGAAGGTTTTTTTTTATTTTCTGTGCAGTGACAAAACATGAGCAAAACAGAGTTAAAGAAAGGTTTCTAGGAGAGACAAACTAGTCCCAAATTTTAGGGAAAAATATGCATTTTAATTGGAAAAGTCAGCTTTAATTGTTAATTATAACTTTGATAATTACTATACTTACAATGTTTTTAAAAGGGATAAGTTTACAATTGTTAACTGTCCAAAACCCAAACTCACTGCCATCAAGTTGATTCTGACTCACAGCGATCCTATGGGACAGGGCAGAACTGCCTCTTAGGGTCTCCAAGGCTGTAAATCTTTACGGAAGCAGACTGCCTTATCTTTCTCTTGTGGAGCAGCTGGTGGGTTCAAACCACCAACCTTTTGGCTAATAGCCCAATCCTTTAACCATAGTGCCACCTGAGGTCCCTATCAACTGTCTATAGCAAGTTCAACAAAAGTCATACCAATATTATTATCACTCTTAATATGTGTGCTTATTTTGTGACATTCAATGTAAAATTTGCATGGCTCCCTCTCATGTCTTACTTTTTTCATCAGATTATAGAAAGACTAAGGTCTAGTGTTTGTTTCATTTTCTAAGTTATTCATTTTATCTATCCATTCAATAAAATGATCTTTTACACATTACATGACCAAAGGAGAAATCAAACAAGTTTTTATTAGCTCCTATTTCTGAGTGAGTCTTTTTTCCTTTTTCTTGTCTCCTCTTACTTAACATCATTCCCTTTATTCAATTTCTTCTCTACACTCTTTTTTTGTATGCTTTGAGACTCCATAATACTCTCTAAAACTAAAAATTAATCCTCCTCAAATTTTTTTTTTTAATTTATACTATTTTTACCAGCCCCCCACCTCTATTTCTTGCTTAATAGATTAAAAATAAAAGCTTAATCAGCTGTAAGAGGGAACATTAATATAGTGATAGTCCTGGGGCTAGTGAGAACAGAATAGGACATGATTCTTTCAGGAAACTTGTGTTTCCTGGTGATGGTGATGAATTCGGCAAAGAGGATGAGGTGACAGAAATTTACTTTAGCTTTAAGGCTATTCCTATCTTAACTGTACTATCATTAACTAAGCAAATAGGAAAGCCTAATAGTGAGAGATATTGCAAAATAAAATATAGGCCTCGGAAAATGTTCATTTGTTCTCAAAATTCCAGTATTTTGCCTATTTTCTATGCTTTTTACCCAACTATCAAACTGCTCTTGGGACTAGAGGTTTCAAATTGTGTTCTTAAGTGATCACTAAGAAATCTACAAAGATTTTTGAAGTCTGAAGTCTCATTCCTGACCAAGATTTGTTAGTCTTTTCTTTCTTTGCTGTATATTTTAGTTTAGCTATAATTTGGTCAAATCACATACTGATCAGATAGATGTCCAGTATTCTGTATGAGTGAAAAAAAAATAAATAAAAGGAAATGACAGATGAGTTACAAAGAAGTAAATGAATGTTATATTGAACATCTCCCAAGCCTAGACTGATCTTCTGTGAAGGCATGCAAACTATAGTTAATATGTTATACAAATCAGGCCTCATACACGCAAATGGTTTATATTTCATATGAGTCATCTCGGTGGCATTCAAAAAAAGATTGTAAGTATAGGCTTCAAGTTTACAAAATAATTTTTGAAACAAAAAGAAATTAAATTGAAAAGCCTCATGTAAAGAAAATAATAAGAAGCTAAATTAAAGACAAGAAAATTTAAAACGAGGCCATAGATAAAGAAACACATTGGAGAAGTAAGATAACTTTGTCCAAAGCTCTTTAAAAATTATAATAATATTATTAACTATTATTATTATCATTAAATTGATAATGAAGAAATCTGAAATAGTTAAATATCTTGCAAAGATCTCAAAATCAGACTTACAGAAGTTGATATATAGAAATGCAATCAGCCGAAGGGATTAGGTGAGGAGGGGAAACTCAGGGATGCCCAAAGAAGCAGGCCAGAAGAGCAGGAGAAAGGTGATTAAAAGACAGGAAGCCAGACAGAGGAACAGTCAGCCACATTGACCCAGGTGGGGGGATAAGAGAGGTCTCCAACAGCAGGACAAACT